TGAAGGACACTGTAGAACACATGGACCTAAGGGACATACATATATATCCTATCCCAACAACAGAGGAAGACACACTCTTCTCATGCACCCAGGGAACATCAAGGATAGACCACGCCAGGCCACAAAACAATTCTTAGCAAATGCAGGAAGACTGAAATCACACCAAGTATCTATCTCCTCTGAGCACAATGGCATGAAACTAGAAGTCAGTAACAGGAAGAAAACTGAGAAATTCACAAACACATGGAAATTAACACTCTCCTGAACCACCAATGAACCAAAGAAGAAATCACAGGTGAAACAAAAAAGTACATTGAGACAAATTAAATGGAAATACAACATACCAACACAGATGGGATGCAGCAAAAGCAGTTCTAAGAGGAAAACTAACTTTGTACAGGACAGACGGTTACTAGACTTATCATGGTGATCATTTCATCAGATATATAAATGTCAAATTAGTACTTTATATACTTGAAACTAATGTAATATTGTATGTCGACTATAATTTTTAAAAGCAACTTAAAAAAAAAAAAGAATTCAACCTAACTCTACATCTTAAAAAATTAAAAAATGAAGAACAGCCAAAGTTAGAAGGAAGGAAATAATGAAGATTAGATAGAACAGAACAGGAAAACAATAGAAATTAATAAAACTAAGCTGGTTCTTTGAAAAGATAAACACAAATCTTTAGCTAGACTAAGGCAAAAAAGAAAGGACCCAATTCAACAAAATTATAAATGAAAAAGAAGACATTACAACTGACACCACAGAAATACAAGGGATCATAAGAGGCTTTTATGGACAACTATATGCCCCAAACTGGGACAACCCAGTTTAAGGAAACTGAAAAAAATCCTTAGAAACAGCCTACCAAGACTGATCCAGGAAGAAACAGAAAATCTGAAGAGACCAATTACTAGTAAATAAAAAAAAAACAAAAAAACTGAATCAATAATCACACCATCCCAACAAAGAAAGCCCAGGACTAGATGGTTTCACTGGTAAATTTTACCAAACCCTTAAAGAATTAACAACAATCCCTCTCAAATTGTTCTAAAAATCAAAGAGGAGGCAACACTCCCAAACTCATTCTACAAGGCCAGCATTACTCTGATACCAAAGCCAGAAAATGACAATGTAAGAAAACTACCAGCCAAAATCCCTGATGAATCTAGGTGCAAAAATTATCAATAAAATACTAGCACACCAAAGTCAGCAGCACATGAAAGGATCATTCATCATGATCGAGTGGGATTTATTCCAGGGATGCAAAGATGGCTCGACATCCCCAAATCAAGCAGTGTGATATACCTCATTAACAAAATGAAGGTTAAGCATCATATGAGCATCTCAATAGATGCAGAAAAAACATTTGACACAATTCAACATTCATTCATGACAAAAACTCTTAACCGATTAGGTACAAAAGGAATGTACCTCAACGTAATAAAGGCCAAATATGACAAGCTCACCGCTAACATCATACTTAACGGTGAAAGGTTGAAAACTTTGCCTCTGAGCTCAGGTGCAAAACACTCTCACCACTGCTATTCAGCACTATACTGGAAGTCCCAGCCAAGAGCATCCAGGCACGAAAAAGAAATAAAAAGCATAAGAATTGGAAAAGAAGAAGTAAAATTGCCTCTATTTGAAGATGACAATTTCATATATATAAAATCCTAAAGACTCCACCAAAAATCTGTTAGATCCAATCAATAAATTCAATAAAGCTCCAGGATACAAAAATCAACACACAAAAATCAGTAGAGTGTATACACTAACTATGAATTATCTTTAAAAAAAAAATAAAGAAAATGATCCCATTTAAAATAGCATCAAATGCCCTGGTCAGTTTGGCTCAGCAGTCAGAGCACCAGCCTGCAGATCAAAGAGTTGAAGGTTCAATTCCCAGCCAAGGGAACGTACCTGGGTTTCGGATTCAATCCAGGCCCTGGTTGGCGTCGTGAGGGAGGCAACCACTCAATGAGTCTCTCTCACGTTGAATCTTCTCTCTCTCTCCCCTTCGCTACCTCCCACTCTATCTAAAAAAGCATCAAAAACAATAGAATAAATTTAACCAAGGACATGAAACATTTCTACTGAAAATGACGATACTGATGAAACAAACTAAAGATACAAATACATGGAAAGATATTCATTCCTGTATGGACTGGGAGATTTAATATTGTTAAAGTTCCCATATCACACAAAGTCATCTATAGATTCACATGCTATCCCTATCAAGATTCCAGAGGAATTTTTTTCTTTATAGAAGTAGAAAAAACAATCCTAATTTATAATGGAAGCACAAAAGGCTATAACTAGCCAAGGCAATCCTAACAAAGTACAAGGCAAGGGATGTCAAACTTCCTGATTTCAAGGTGTATTATAAAGCTATAGTAATCAAAACAGTATGGTAAGGACATAAAAACACACAAGCCAATGAAAGAGACTCGAGAGCCTAGAAATAAACATATCCATACACAGTCAAGTAATATTTGACAAAGGAGCTAAGAATACTCAATGGAGAAGACATTTTCTTCAATAAATGGTGCTGGGAAACCTGGATACTTACATGTAAAAGAAAATAAGTAGAACCCTATCTGACACCACTCATAAAAATTAACTACAAAATGGATTGTTATGGCCTTGAATATAAGACTGAAAACCATAAAACTCCTAGAAAAAAACATAGGAAGTTAGCTTCTTGACATCGGTATTGGCAGTGATTTTTTGGGGTATGACAAGAACAAGCCACACATCAAAAATAAACAAGTGACATCAAACTAAAAAGCTTCGAAACAGCAAAATAAACAGTCAACAAAATATAAAGACAACCTATGAAATGGAAAAAAGTATTTGCAAACCTTATATCTAATAAGGGGGGAGGTTAACATCCAAAATGTATAAAGAACTCATACAACTCAATAGCAAAAAAACAAATAAACCTATTTAGAAATGAGCAAAGGACCTGAACATTTTCCCAAAAAAGTAATACAAACCACCACCAAGTACATGAAAAGGTGCTCAACATCACTAATGATGCAACTCAAAACCACAACGAGATATCACCTCATGCGTGTTAGAATGGCTATCATCAAAAAGATAAGAGATACCTGGCAGGTTTGGCTCAGCGGGAGCGTTGGCCCGCGGACCAATGAGTCACGGGTTCAATTCCGGCCAAGGGTATGTACCTTGTTTTCGGTTCGTCCCTGGCACTAGTCGGTCAGGGTCATGCGGGAGGCAACCAGTAGATGTGTCCCTCTCATGCCAATGTTTCTCTCTCTCCCTTTCTCTCCCTCTCTCCCTCTCCTACTCTGTCTGAAGATAAATAGAGAAATATCCTCGGGTGAGGATTAAAAAAAAGATGAGAGATAACAAAAGCTGGGGAGGAGGTGGAGAAAAGGGATTGTAAACTGGTATAGCTACTATGGAAAAGAGTATAAAGATTCCTCAAAAAATTAGAACTAGAACTACCATGCGATCCAGCAGTTCCACTTTGGGGAATATACCAGAGGAATGAGAACACTATGTCGAGGAGATTCTGCACCCCACGTTCACAGCAGCTTTATTTACAACAGCCAAGACAGAGAAAACCTAAGTGTCCATCAACAAGTGAACGGATGAAAAAGTTATACACACACAAAATGAAATATCATTGTGCCATAAAACAGGAAGTGCTACCATTTGAGATGGATGGACCTTGAAGGCACTATATTAAGTGAAATAAGTCAGTCAGAAAGACAAATATAATATGATTCCACCTATATGTGGAGCCTAAAAAAGAGAAAAAGCCAAACTCATAGAAAAAGAGATCAGATTTGTGGTTACCAGAGGCAGGGAGGAGGGGGAGGGGAACTGAATGGAGGTGGTTAAAAGGTACGAACTCCCAGTTATAAGGTCAATGAGTACTGGGCTGTAACGTACAGCATGGTGACTACAGTTAACGCTGCTGTACGTACGATACATAGTAAAGTTAAGAGTGAATCTTAAGAGTTCTCATCACAAGGAAGAAACCTCTTTTTTTGTATCTGTGAGAATAAGGACATAACTAAACTTACTGCGGCAATCACTTCACGACCTAAGTCATTATGCGATGTATTCAACTTACACCGTGCTTGTGTCTCAATAAAACGAGGAGAAAGAAGAAAAATGTTACAGGGCCCACATCTTTCTCCCTCAAGCCAGACGGTGTTCACAGGGAACACAGAGGCAGCTTAAAGAACTAACTGCCTGTCTGCCCTGGCTGGTTTAGCTTAGCAGTTAGAGCCCGCAGGTCATGGGTTCGATTCTGGCCAAGGGTACGGTTTGTCCCAGGCCCTGGCTAGGTCATGCTGGAGGCAACCAGTCGATGTTTCTCACGTCAGTGTTTCTCTCTCACGTCAATGTTTCTCTCTCATGTCAATGTCTCTCTCCCACTCTATTTGATGAAAAACAAACAAACAAACGGCCTGATGCAGGGTTGTGGCGTGGCCTCAGCCAGGCGGTCCTGCTCTGGGTGATGCACAGCTTCTGCTTAGTCTCTGCAGCCTTGTCTCCCGGGGAAAAAGAGCATCTTTCTGATAGCACCGACTCCCTACCACTCCAGTTCAACATTAAGCACCAGTTCAACCAAAAGGACTGCATTGAACAAATTTAATCATTTCTTTAAAACATGAACTCCCCAAAGACACCAAAAATGTAGTGAAATAGGCGGAAAAGGAGCTTCATGGCATCTTATATCTCTACCTAATAAAACAATCTTTTTTTTTTTTTTTTAAAGTACATTATGCAGACCCCTCAGCAGGACTGTGGGATAACCGGCACCTGTCAGGATAACCTTGCGCACAACCCCAGACATGGACACCTCTACCCTCTCCAACACTGTCCCGTGTCTTTTGGTTCTGAGTTACCAACCCCCAAGTTAAAGAAAAAGAGGAATCAATTTTCCTTCACAGAAGAAATGATTTTATTCCATTTGAAAAAAGTATAGGATACAGTTATTCATTCTTTGCCTGGCAAAAATCACTTCCCATAGGACTCTGAGCCCCGCCTGGTGAAGCCAATGGTGACAAATGGAACCCCGTGGCCCTCAGGGGAACAGTAAACATCTGGCTGCAAAAGCAATCCTACGATCAACATACTTTTTGTAGCAAAGGTTCCCAGGTTCATTTTATCCAGAAGACCATTTTGGTTTTGAAGAACATATTTTATTTTGAAGACACTTCAAATTTACTCCTGGAACCCAGGGCACATCACTTCTCAGAGAACTGGGAAGAAACGGGATCTCAAGCATTCTCCTACGCCACTCCCTACTCTGCAGTGAGATCTGACGCAAGTGCATCGACCACGCACGTTCACCTCCCCGGAGACAAACCCGAGGCGGAGCACCAGCCACCTCAGCCCATTCCCGCTCCTCAGTGGGACCCCGATGGGCTCCTGCCAAAGCAGGCGGTCACCGCATCCACCCTGCTCCACTGAAGGGCCACAGAGGCCAACCCATGCCCGCCTTGAACCTCCACCCTGGGCACCACTGTGAATGAATGGGAGAAGAGGGGCAAGCCCCTGGGGGACAGGCATCGGTCCCTCCCTCTATGGCTTTTCACAGCAAGGGGTCACCTCTATGTCCTGCATTAAGTGTTTGCTCTTTTAACATCTGAGCCACACTGTATATAGTGTTATTCACCAAACGGGATACACGGAGCCCTGGACTCAGCCTGTGGCTCTGGGATTCCTGAGAATGGAGTCAGGGAAGCGACCGGAAGCACCGGTTCTCCCTGCACCAGCTTCCAGGTGTGCGCAGGGGCTGCTGCTCGTGGCAATGCTGGACCAGCCACTGTCTGGCCTTATGTCACGGTGGGGCCTCCATGACGGGCACTCCATCTCCACTGGGCTCCCTCTAAGAAAGCCGGCCTGGGGAATCTAGTTAGTGAAGGCTGCGGGGCGCTCTCCAGGCGAAGCTGGGCCCAGCCCCAACGCTCTGCCGGAAGCACCGGCCGCACAGCAGCAGCTTCAAACACACCGCGTGTCGGACTAAGCAGCTCTAAAGGCGGTGAGCAGAGCTGCCGCTGACTCGACAGGACAGCGCCCGGGATGTAGGCTTCTGATTTCAGAGCGACAGGGCCTCCGAAAGGCTCACTGGCAAGGCAGGTATGAAGCCGGGTTTGTTACAACTGTCATCTGTCACGCTCTAACCACGGGGTGACGCTCACCACTGTTGGACAGCACCTTTGCCAGGGAGACACGAATCCCATTCGTCAGAGCCAGTCACCCATCCATAGCAGGCAGGGAACACTGCAAACAGCCAGGCGACCAAAGCCGTGCCCAGGAGTTCCCACTCCGGGGCCCAGTGCCAAGGCCATTCTTCTGCGCACAGCCAATTTTCGGACCCACAGTGTGTTACTGTGGAGACACACATGACCAGTCCACTGAATGCCTTCAGAAAAAGGGGCCATGTCACATGTCTCATCAATGTTTCTCCTGCCACCCCTTCCTGGACATAGGAGGCTGCAGGTGCTGGGCTGGGCTCCCCTGCCTTGGATTAGGCGAGGACAGCACCCTCACACTGCGGACGAGTGTTAGCTGAGAGCACACTGGTGGCTTCTGAAACATGTCCGTGTGCCGCAGAAGAGTAAATGCAGCCCTAGGAGAGGCCAGGGCCAGCGGAGGCACAGCGGGAGCCCGGTCGCCACCACTGGGCTGACTAGGAACAGCAGCAGCTAGTTCCCTCCCCAGGTGGTCTGCCTGAGCTGGCTGTCTGGAGAGGGGCTGGTTGGCACTGCAATCGCTAATTTGGGGGCTTGTCCTAGAACCGCACTCACTGCCATCGAGCCATTGGGGACAGCAGTTGTGTTCAAGCTACTAGGAACCTCTCCGGTAGCTCGTATTTTAAAATAGACTAAATAAAACACTGGCAAAACAATCCCAATGAGAAGCATGATAAGAACAGCATTCCACCACTGAATTCCACAGTCGGCACCGTTGGTCGGCGTCTTCGGAGGAGCCGGAAGTAGTGGCTGACCAGAGGTCTCCAAGCAGTAACTGTCACCGATAAAGATTTCTGATTGCACCACACGTTCAATATTCTGGTCAACGCCCTTAAAGAACTCCGTCAGGGGGCTGGATGGGGCACTGGCGCCCGTGGCTGCTCTGTCTTGGTCTGGCTGCCCCTCGAAGGTCTCTCTGGTCTCTGAGGATGGGCTCAGGAGGGGTCTGAGTTCTTTGTGGGTCTCTGTTAGGATCCCGTGGTTTTTCACAGGAATCTTAATAGATTTCAAAGCATATAAGTCTTGTTCTCTGATGAAGTTGTTGGCTTTCTTGATATCTGCAACCTACGGAAGCCATGAAGACAAACATCACGAGATACATCTAGCTCCTTAGAATTAACATTCAAAAAGTGGCTCTTAACCTTTCTGGAGGCTGGTCCAAGCCCAGCCTACCTGAGTATGATGGACACTGGGAAACTGCACCTACACATACATTAGTTCAGGGGAAAGGAGGTTGCTTTTTGGCTTTAATTCACCTTCAATGCAGAGCTTACTCATCAAAATGTCCCACAGATTTACAAGTTTGAACAATGTAAGATCAGTTTGGAAAAGGCTTTTTTATTTGTTTAAAGTGTGACTGCAGCAAAATGCTTTTAGGTGAAACCGCCATGGTGGTAAAAAGAATGCCTCTGCCCTTTCTACTTCTTTTAACTTTTGAGGCAACAGTGCCCCCATCTGGTGCCCTCCTCCCACATCAGAACCCAGTTCTGCAGCTGCGGTCCACAGGAGCACCCAGCAGACACGAAGCCCTCGCCAGCTGCAGACACCCAGAGCTCAGTTTACCAGTAACAACATCTTAAGGTGATCTTCCCACGTTTCCGTCTGCACAGGTGCTGCACAGCACGCAGCACTTCTATGATAATTAGGAACGTCAAGGGAATCACAAATCAAGTTGGAAGCCATGGGCTGAAATTTTCTACTCCAATATTAGGACTTGAGGAGAAAGGACCACCACTAGGAGTTTTATAAAGTAACAAAGTTCATGACAAACACTTCCCATAATCAGACCCTAAGATTTAAGAGGGGGTAGAGGGGCTGTAAGTCAAAGATAATGTTTGAAAGCCAACAGAGATGGCCTCTACGGTTTTAACTTATTAGGTCTACTTAGAGACTGTAAATACAGCTACCAGACTTTTCGATAGAGCCTTATTCAAATCAATAATCTCCACTATCCTAATTATTTAGCAACTGTTTTTGATCATCTAATTAAATTGGGGTGAAGGACACCTTTATGTCCTGGAACTCAAGCATAAGGTGCTTGAGACCGTTTTGTCTTAGTCCCTAACAAACTCACATAAATGTATTTACTTTCAACAGGAAAACTGGCCACTAATTGGATGCATTATACAGTCTTCAGGGATTCATTAAACATCACCATTCCAAGGAACTCACTGCATCTATTCAGGTCGTCTTTTTCAGCTCATGTTCTATAAACCAAACTGTATGCCTATAGAAGCTGATTTTAAGAATCAAATGTATAAATTCAGTACAATTCAGTCCCACTATGTGTTTCTAGAGACCAGCCTGTTTATTTCCCTGGGAAACATCACCACACCCTACACATGTGTTTAACCATTTAATCCTTGTTAGATACATGGCAGTCACTTTAAGGAGGAAAATATTTTTAAAATAAGTTGCTCAGGTAGCCTTAGAGAAAGTCACACAGAAAGTCGCAGCATAGTGTCAGTAACGCAAAACAAACAGTTTTAGACCAGGAGAAAATGCAGCAATTCTATAAATACTTTCCTACTTACTTTGCCATTGTTAATCACTCTGAATGCTAAAAACATAATTAGAGAGAAACAGGGTTACAGAGATACACAGATTACAAAGGCTAGATCATGCAGTTCCAAGGAGAAGGTAAAACTTTATCGATCAAATAAGTTACAACCAGTAAGAAGGGGTCAGGAAAAGAGAAGCAGCCAAAAAAAAAAAAAGCAAGTATACCAAAGATTAATTCTGCCTGATGTCTCTGGCCCCATTAAGTCTTAAATCAAGTGTGCTCAAGAGGAAAAAAAAAAAAGGTTGCAGAATCTCAGTTTGGAGGGACAGGGAAGAGTAGAAATATTTTGCAGAAAGGGAACAGCCCCACCACCTGAGATCCCTAACCCTCACTCTTGATGACCCCAGGCTTCAGAGCTGAAAGTACTTCCACCTGCCTTCCATCTCTGGCTAAACAGGGAAGGCCCTACTGCTGCATGAGGAGGCCTCTCGCAACCACCGTCTGGTCAGGAAGGGGCAGCGAGGGCTCCCACTCATCAGTGACATCCTCTACATGGACAGAGGCGGAGGGCAGGCGACACCTTCACCTGTGGGATGTCTTACTTTGCAGCCATACTGAAGAGCGAGCTTGTTGAGGCTGTCCTCCTGGGCCAGCTCCCGCTGCAGCATCACGATGCTCCCAGCTCCAGGCTGGGGAGGGTGGTGGGCACCCTTCTGGCGCTCCTTGCCCCGGGGCCGCAGAGCCATTCCGTGGGACTCTTCTTCAGAGGAGTCCCCTGAGTCCCCATCGCCATTTTCAAACACGTAAACTTGGCTGGTCGGAGTCCTACAGACCGTGGCTGGGCCTTGGAAGGTCTTGGTTAACACCGCCTTCTGCCTCATTTTCTTAACTGAAAACCAAACCCCAGGGTTAATTTGACACAAAGCATATCCATTCCTCTGACTGCAATACAGATAAGTATCTTAGAGATGACACCTTTTCCAAATCAGTGTAAATCTTCAAGAATTACCAGCAGTACAAAACAATGCATTTACGCTGAAACAGAAGGCGAGAGATAGGCAATAAAAACATCATTTTCACCCTAATTCCATTATTTTGCACACACAAAAAAACACACAAGATCCCCTCTTCGTCTTCATGCGCACCCTGTGACTCCCGAAAACCCCAAATGTAGAGAAAAACAACTGCTCTCCATGGTCACCCAGCAGTCAGGAAGTGGCTGGGATCCTTGCAGCGAGAATTAAGTCAGAACCGCTGTGCAAAACAAATTCTTGTTCAACTTGACCCATTTCAACGTCCCGTCACTAAGGCCCCTTGCTTAGAAGAGCTAAAAACCGAACACTCTGGTTTTTGAAACAGCTCACGTTATATACTACGGAGGGCAACTTGGGAACATTCCTGCCAACCTCAGAAACGCGTCCCGTTTCTCCCAAGTCCTTTTGCCTTCAGGACACCCCACGTCTGGTTTGTATTGTCACTTCCAGCCGAGTGCAAAAACCACAACAGCCCCCTTTCCCGGCTCCAAATGCTTCCCAATGGGTCCAGAAGTGAAACCTCACACATGGGGAATGACAGCCTCAAAGAGCGGGCATCCCGCCCTCGGGAGCCACGGAGGGCGGCCCGTCCGGGGCCAGCCGGGGCCCGCGACGACGCCCCTCCCCAGCCCCGCCCCCGCCCCGAGGGTCACCTGCGGCGGCCCGACCCTGGGGCCGCGCCCGCCCGGCCGCCCGAGCTCCGGGCCTGCGAGGGGCCCTGGAGGCTCCAGGCCTCAGTTTCCCGCACTGTCTCCTCCACGAAAGGAGAGGGGTCCCCAAACGGGAGCTGACACTAAACACGGGGAGCGGCCCGCCTCTGCGCTGACCGGACTCCAACTTGCCACAAGGCACGACCTCTGACCTCCAACCCCAACAACCTCGGGCCAGACCCTACGGCCGTGGTGGCCGCTCCTCCGGAGGCAGGAGGGTGGCCTGCCTCGGACCCCTTTCCCCCGCAGCAGGGCTAAGCCACCGCGTCGTAAGGGTCCGCTTAGCACCCCCAAACGGGTACCAGACCACCCCAGCGAGCCCCGGTACCTCAGCTCCCAGGATTCGCCGCGACCCGCCGCCTGGCTGCCGACACTGCTGCGCATGCCTATTGGCTGCTAATATCAGCAGGTCTTGTTGGGGCGGAACGCGAAGCAGCCAATGAAATCAGCGGTGGGCGGGCACTAAAACGAGTCTGGCTGTCCTGACAGGTCAGCACCGGACCTGCAGGGAGCGAGGCCCGTGCCTGGGGGCGGGGCCTGAGGAGGGGCGGGACGGGGGCGGGGTCCAGCTCTGGGACCTGACCCTCGCCCCGCCCTCCTGCCTGCCACAGGCTGTAATTCGCTGCAATGCCTCACTCCCAGCTTTCAGCTTTCTCACCTGTAAGTGGCCTTTGGCCCCGCCTCGTGTGTCAATCGCTTGTAACGAGGGGCGGTCCGTACGGTGGGCGTCACGGGCTGACCCCCAGCGCGAGGGCTTCTGTTGTTGGAGTTTGCTCCGCCCCGATCCATGCGAATAAAAAAGTCCACCCAGATAAACATTGAACACAACACGGACCAAAAAATTTTAATTTATCACATGTAGGCTGGCAAACGTTTAGAACTTCAATCCAAGAAAGACAACCCAGATTAAAAAGCAAAAACGGCAATTTGAGGAAGATAAATGTAACAAACACCACAAATGATTAAAATCCTTAAATGAAAGAGACCTCATCAAATTAATAAGACACCAAGACCACAGTAGATGAATGGATGAAGCACCCATCCCCTTTTTGTAGTATTTGGACACACCCTCTACCTTTCCCAGTGTCAGTTTACAAGGCACATGCTTCCTACCCGGTCCCTGGCTGTCACTGCCAGTTCATCACAGGGCCACAGACAGCTCATCCAGAGTATCCAAGACAGCCAGAACCAACCAACCAGTACAGGCAGGAAAGGTGACAATAATTTGCCACCTCTACTCCGGAAGTTGGTAGTCTTGGTCTGGTTTCTTAGACTGTGGGTTGTCCAGTAACTCAGGGAAACCCACTGGTCATCAGGGTTCAGCCTCCTACCCATAATAGAAAGAATAAAACCTCCTGAGCTCTTCCAAGTGTTGGTCAAGTCCTTGTTAGGAATTGGAAGAAGCATCGCTGTGAGCGTTGAAGCTCATAGCTCCAAAGACATCGCCAACTTCAAGAATTCATGGGATAGTGGTAGGGGAAAAAAAATGTTTAGGAAATATATTGCATTGGGCACAGTGCAAAACATCATTAAAAAGTTAAAGGACCTATGACCAATTGGGTAAAACTATTTGCCATCTTTGATATGTGAATAGTCTTAATATATAAAAAGCACTCGAATCTCAATAAGAAAAAACAAACACTCCGTAGAAAAATTGCCAAATGATGCAACTCATTCACTAAAGAAATACATGCAGGAAAAAAAAAAAAAGGCATTAACATGGCAGATGGTCAAATCAATGGAAACTCAGATAGCTGCAAGAAGCTGGAAAAAGTCTGACCTAAAAGGATTACGTGGCCTGTGATGGCAGATGGGTAAAGAATATTCTCGAGCTCTGCTGGTGGGATGTCAATTGGGACGTTGGTAGCCTTCTGCAGCAATAACTTAAAATGTGCATCTTCTTTGATTCTGTCTCCCACATTTATGAATTTACCAAGAAAATAATCAGGGAATGTAAGAGCATTTGCTGCAAAACTGTTCTTAATGGTGAGAAATGGAAGAAACCCCAAGTGGCCAGTAGTAAGGGATTTGGTTGAATTCACTGAGCTCATTTAGGGAATAAAGCACACTCATTTCAAATAATCTCGTAGAAGGATGTTTGGGAATAAAAGGCACTGTTTTGAAATTGCTAGAAAACAAGGGGAGGGAAAGATACCCCACAGCATCACCCCACATCCACCTGAGAGCTATAAAGAATGTTCTAGTGGTTATTCCTGGGTGACTTTAATTGCTTCATTGATGTACAATCGCACTTTTAACATTGTTTCTGCTGCACACATTTACATTGTTAGGAGGAGGGGGTGCACCCAGTGAAAGCCAGAGGTGCTGAAGTCAGATGTCCAACTTTGAATCCCTTAGGACGTATAGGAAAATTCTGTGGCCTCTGCAGCCTCACTTTTCTCATCTGTAAAATGGGATCTGAGATGGACACTGTTATTGTGAGGGTTAAAGAGGGTGCTGCTAACTGTCCAGCGCTGGGCAGGTACCTGGTAGACAGCCAGCATTGCAGGAAGGTGGGGCTATCATGATTACCATGACTACGTGACTACAGAAATGCATAAAAGTCAATTTTCATTAAAAAGTACTTTCTGGCCCTGAGCAGTTTGCTCAGTGGTTAGAGCCTCCAGCCTCGGTCAGGGGCATGGACCTGGGTTGTGGGCTTGATTCCCGGCCCCCATCACGGTTGTGTGGGAGGCAACCAATCAATGCGTGTCTCTCACATTGCCGTTTCTCTTTCTCTCTTCCTCCCTATCTCCCTCCAGATCTATCTGATGATAAACGCAAAAATGTCCTTGGGTGAGGATTTTTAAAGGAAAGTACCTTCTGGCCCTAACTTAGGTAGCTGGAGATGTTTTGTGGGGCTCTTTAGGGGCTCAGATCTGCTCTGATCTGGGAACAGGTTTTTCAGGTGAGTTTTAAGCCAGTTCATCAGCAGCTTTGGATTGTCCCTGGGGCCAGGGTGTGGGTAGGTGACCATGAACAGGAGCCTGATGAACCGGGCAGACTGTCCTAGGCAATGTCAGCAGGGGCCAACACCCTTCAGACCAGATGAGTACCCTCATGGGACACCCAACGCCCGGCCCCGAGCTCCCCAGTCACTGCAGGCTGACTTCTGCGTGAACCTCCGCTTCCTGCTTGGAGCCTGGGACTGCTCTGTCATCGCCACCTAGTGGGAACTCAGTCTCCAGTTGCGGTTTCCCTGGAGAGCCACCCCCAAGACCTTGGTGTATACAGCCAGGTGTTTAAAGGGTTCACGGGTACCTCTTAACATCTTCACATTGTCCCTCTCAGGAGCAAATCCTCAATGTCCCCCCACCCCCGCTTTCCAGTCACCTCGCTTTCTCTCCCATGCCAACCTTTAAACCCAGCTCTGACTTTCCTGGGCATGCCTGGGAATCCTGCCAGGTTCAGAGGGCCCAACTCAACACCTCCACTTCCCCGTCTCCTCCCCAGTTCCCTGGGATGGGGTGAGGACAGACCTCATTTATAATTTTACATGAATTACATGCTAAAATGGTACTATTTTAGATATATTAGGTTACAGAAAGTATTATTAAAATAAATTTCACATATGGAGTCTCTTATTCCTCTGCGTTAGACTCCCAGGAGTGGCCATCGCTCCGTTGAAGAGTCCATGTAAACCGGCAGGTTGCTTTCAGACAGATGCCACAACAATTTTCATTGCAGCAACACTCTTTAGAGAACCCCTTTCCCTGCAATACGTACTAATGCTTATTTTATTTTTATCAGTTTGCTAGGTATAAAATAACATGCTGTTTCTTAAATTTACATTTTTCTAACTACTAACAAGTTTGAGGACCTTTTTATGTGTGTTGATTGTTTACATTTGCTCCTCTGTGAATTGCTGTGTTAACTGGATTAGGGTCCGCTGTATATAGCAGAAAAGCCCAAAAGAGCAGAGGCTATTTTTGTTGTCCTCAGCCCTCATGTTCCAAGATGGCTGCCAGAGTGCCAGGCATCACATCCTCATTCCAAGCAGCAGAAGAGAGGCAGGCACAAAGGAGGGCAAACTCCCTCCCTTTATGAAAACTTCTTGGACATTACGCATAATACTTCAGCTGACATATATTGCATCAGAACTTGGTCACGTGGCTTCACCTAGCTGCAAGGAAGGCTGAGAAATTTAATTTTTGAGTTCCTACCCTGAGTAAAATCAGGAGTCTATTAATGAGAAGAATAAGAGTAGAGGGGGGATGGTAATTATAATAAGCAACTAGAAATCTCTGCTGTAACTGCTTTCCTTTTTGCCAATGTTTTCATTTGGTTATTTCTCCCTTTTTTTTCTTTCAATACTGTATTCGGTTGAACTATATGAAGTTGTTGATATTTTACTCTTTTGGCCAAACAAACAAACAAAAAAACCCCAGCAAATTCCATATGATGCGACCCAGTCGATATGGACTCTTTGCCTTTTTCTGTCTCCAGCACAACACATCTCTTTTTCCAAAGTTATGCTTGTACGTAGAATTTGTTGTGCCTTTTGCCACTCAAAAAACGTACCGTTTTTATAAAGTCAGATGTGCTTCCTTTTCTTTCATAGCTTTGGGGTTGCCTGTTTTGGCAGAGAACTTTTCATGTAGGTGTAATCTCCTATATTTTCTTCTTAGCATTTGAATTGTATTACTTTAAAAACAAAACATTTAAATCTTTCATTGTTCTGGAATCTATTTTTTTGCACATGGCGTGAAATTGGGTCCAGCTGGATAATCTTCCAGCTGGATGGCCCACGGTGCCAGAACCATTTATTAGGTAGCTCCTCCTTTTCCTGCTGAGTTGAAATTCCATCTTTGATAAACATGAAAATCATACTCACAATGGGATTTATTTGGGG